CAACACAAAAGGTCAAATCATACCACAGAGCCAACACAACTTAACACAGAGTCAACTGACCTTAGGTCCAGGTTACGGGTCCAAAGGGTCAAGGTCAAGTTTTGTATTTTTCACTGATGAACATTTTGTTATGATATCAAGAAGCAAAGTTGGTCAGAATTAAAGAATAAGTCAACTGACCAAAGTTCAGGGTCACTGGGTTAATGGTCAAGGTCATTTGGGTCCAATGGTCAAAGACAATGTGGATCTATGACTTTGACCCTGGCTCTTGATGGAGGAGGTATATAAGGTGAAATAAAACAAATCAAAGCTAACAAATGAGTATTGCACCGGCAAATATGGAGGTGGAAGGAAACAAGACTCACATCATAGTACATGTAAAATGAACTTGCGATTCTTTTTGAAGTCCAAATGTCAAACGTCAAGCTCAGCTATATAGGCAGATTGCTTCTTGATGATTATGGGGGATATATTGCCACAAGACGGGGCCCTTACTGACCTGTCAGTGTTCTATTTATTGTAAATTCTGTGTAAAATGCTCATCACTGAACCAACATTTCTGAAAGTTCATAAAGATTAAATTTACAAGGGAACATACTTATAATGATGGAAACTCTTATCTAAACTGGTTTTTGGGCACAGTTGAAACATATTCAACTAAATAGCTTTACAAGTCTGCGTGCAATTTTTTTTAAACTTTCATAATTGAATATTGCAAGCTAGCTATATATATAGGTTAGCCAACAAAATATTGTCTCCACAACTCCTACAGTTTTTAGCCAAAGTATCCTTTCATAAAACAGTCAACACACTCTGAAGTCGTTCACCTGTGATTGTCATTTTGACCCAGCAGTTTATATGGGAGTTATGCCCCTTATTTTGAAATCAGTTTTTGCACAAATCCTTCCAAAGTTCTGCATCTATTTGAATGACACTTAGTACACAGAACCCTTACATCAAGGGGATATCAATAAAGTATTTAAATTGGTGTTACCACCACTTATCAGGGAGTTATGCCCCTTCGTTGATTGTTCACACTACAAAATAAAGTATTTGAATTAAAATTATCTCCTATATTTATGGAGTCATGCCCTTTTGTTCCTAAATATTCCTACAATTCTTGGCGCAGGCTTGGGGCGCATAAGTATGACATTCTGGTGACAGTTCTAATTGTCTTTTATAATGGTTTTGAAAACCTATACATGTAATTTTAATTTTGAATTTTTATATTTTTGAAAATATCCCACATTTGAGCCGAGCTATCGACTTACCCATGAGATTGGTAATGATCACACTGTTTTTTAGGATTATGAAGAAGATTTTGAGGATGAAGAGGAAGAACCTAAGGTAAGAATCCCATCAAATGCTCTAATAGAAAGGAACTTTGTTACAGACTCAAAATTTCTTACATTTATGGTTATAAAATATATGATTATGTTATTTCTTGAAAATTAATAGGTTTGTACATTTTATGATTAATCTTCATAAAAAAAGTCAATGTACATAATGTGAAATTGTTTTATTACTAATGAACCTTGTACTTCATCCGAATATGCACCACTATTACATTAGGGATTAAAATTACAAACAAAAAATTGATTAAAAAATGATTTCGAAATTATTTTCCTAAAACAACTTTTTCATTAAAAAACCCTCAAAAAACACTATACATGTACATGTAATAAGCTACCATATTTTGTCGACCAACTACAAACTATCTTAAAGTAAGGAAATAGCTAGAATACTACATTACTATGCACAGTTTATTTTGATATTTGCTTCTGAAAATATTTTGAATCAAGAACATTTTATAACATTTCTTCCTTGTCTTTCCTAGCCTTCCTTTACAGTAAAAACCTCCAAACAGAGGTCACCTAGAAACTTCCAGGTGAGATGCATGTGTAATACATGTGTGTAGGCATCAATTGTAGAGTTTCTGTCATACCTCTTTGCCGAGATTGTACTTCAAAACGCCTTCTTTACACCTCCGTACACCTTTCAAATTCATTAATCCATTGAAAGCATTCTATTCTTCCCCTTTGAGAATCCATTTTTGCGTTTGGAAAGTAAACTTTGTTTCAGAGTAAAAAATATGTAGAACTTAGAAGCACTAGTTTTGCAAAAGCCCTTTAGTTTAAATTCTTTAGCCTCTAACTGTTGGTTCATTCAAACTATTCTAGTCATTAGTGATTGTGACGGTGGGAGTTTGGTATGTCAAACGTACTCTATTCAGATTCCCTTGTTACCTTAAAATGACTTTCGTCGTTAAGATGAATTTAGAAGATATTTAAATTAACACTTTTCTGTGTGGTGAAACATGCATGCCAGAAATCTCTCAGCAGAGATAAAATGTCCATGTTATGGAGAAACCTGTGTTAAAACTTAGTTATCTAATCACTTTATGATTTATGCTTTTCTTTTTTGAATTAGTTCAACATGTAGATAGAAGTAGATAGTGCTTAACTTTTTGATTTTGTCTTCTAAAATTAACAGTACAAAATCAATACTTTTTAAAATTTATATTGCTCCTTTACATCCTTCAATTCAATACTAATTAGCTACATAGCCAGCTTAAGTTAAGATCAAACGAAGGTCATAATATAAAAACCTATAGTCTATCAATATATAAAACCATCATGAGCTATACACAATCTTATGTTTACTTTAAGCAGATTGACATAGCATTCACAAAAAACAAATAAATAAATGAATACCCAAAATGATCCTAGGACATGCTATTTGAGCAGGTCAAGATTCAAAGGTATTAGTACTGATAAATAAAATATTTGACCATTCGTCGTAAATGTGAAACAGCAGGTGACCACACCCAAAACATGGCACGGGTACAGCAAGATACATTTGTACATCATAATCCATTTGAGACAAGATTGTGAAAAGTTGATTGATTTGCAATTTGCACAGGAGTCCATTCACCGGAGCTCTCAGCCTGGAACTGTTTTGGACTACTCTGTAAATATGACTAAACTGAGGCGTGCTATATATAGATTGTGTCCGTTTGTCGCAAAGTCTGCAGTGTGCAATCACTGTCATCATGTCTATTAAAATTTTCAGTCAAAAATACTTATTTTAAAATGCTCAATATTTATGCAGTTTATTTGATGTGTCCAGTTTTTTTGTCACTTTAAATCTATGTAAAATTTTATTTGAATTGAAATGTTTTATTTCACCACACGCTTTAAGCTTTGAGACAATACACTCAAACAAACTTATGATTTTAATCTGAATCCCTCCATAGTGTCGCAATAAGACTTCACGTGATTTATTTCGGCTATGTACTTTCATGGTTTAAAAAGGATGCCAGATGATTTTTGGTAAATGCAGAATTTGTCATCAACATAGCAGATTTCAGGACTAGGCTTTCATTTCCTTTGCTGAAGTGCCCTTGCCCCTTCACCCCTTGCCCCCTGCTCCCCCTCCTCCGACCCTCCCTGAAACACACACTATAGATCTGTTACACCCTCCATACCTCCTTAAAATCAAAAGTATCTTCAATCTAAGTTTGTCACTTTCTTTGATTTCTTTGTGACACATCATGCCTACTCTTCAAGTTTTTAAGTGATCTATCTTAATAAGTTTGAGACATATTTCTTTCACTTATAATGCATTTTCGTTTATTATATGAATGTATTAGTACCCAAGAAACCAGGGAAAGTAAATGATTGTACTATATTCCTCAGTTGGTCTGTTCGTACATCCACTGTGTCTTGTGCTGGTGTTGTCCTCAGAATGACTGAATATAAAAATACTGCTGCACCATGACTTAGCAGTGCGTCCTGTATCGCGTTAAGGTCTGCACCCTCAAAGTCAAGGTCACAAGAAGAGAGTCAAATGTCAAGACGTTCTAGTGCTTGTTTAGGCAATCACTCTTATGTGACTGAACATTGTACACTGTGTTCTGAAATTTCATATATAGATGCAACAAGATGTTACATTGTATTTAGTAACTCTTGAAGATGTGTAACTCAAAGACAAGGTCACTGCCAAAGGTCAAAGGATGAAATATTTCAATATTTCTTATTATGAAATATAATAACTTACTTGAATGAAGACTTTTATCATGACTAGACAATGTGTCATGGTTGGGGACAGGTATTGTAGCACTACAAGACAAGGTATTACCTTAGATATCAGGAGTTGCTTTGTAACACTGCAACATGCTTATTTTACTTAATTTTGTATCCACTGAAAAAATATGTATTTCGTGTTAATTTCTATAAAACCATGACATTTTGGTAATAGGAAAATGATCGAAATGCTGGCATTCTATGATAATGGTTATAAAAGCACTGCCGCATGTTTGTTGTGGTTGCTAGATGTAAGCATGGTATACATGAGGTACTTGGTGCCATCTGTCATTGGTGTTGCATTTTGAGTATCTTGGTCTCTATATGGCATGGTTTGTTTGTGTACATACAGAACGTATTTTTCAAAATGTTTTATCATGACTTCCTGTTAAAATATAAAGCGGAAGCAGACATTTCTCTACATAAAGCCAGCTTTCAGGATTACAAATATGTTGGGATATAAAATGATGTAACAAAATATATTATTAGGGCCCCGTATCAGAGATACGGGTGCCCTATAGTAATCACTCTGTCTGTCTGTCTGTCTGTCTGTCCGTCCACAAATTTTGTTCCTGGCTGATAACTTTGGTAATAATTGACCGATGTACATGAAACTTGGTCAAGATGTTCAGTTCACAAAAATACACATTGAGGTAAAAGTCAAGGTCAAAGGTAAAGGTCATAAGGTTCAAAGGTCAAGGTCAAATTNAAATACTGTATCTCATTTGACAGAATAAATTGTAGGAAAAACAGAAAATTTTGTAGGTAAATATATACTATATACCGGGAAATGTTTGCTGTAGTTAAATTTTTATCACCTGTTTTTTCCTTAATGATAAGGGCAAATTTTTCATGACATTGAATATTTGAAGCAGTTTACCCTTTATAGTAATTATAGGTGAAGGGCAAAATTTAAACTGAGCAAATATGAAATTTACCGGTGAAGGACAAATATTTGGCTGGGCGTAAGTTTAACAATAGACAGTAGATGTATTGCTTAAATATGAAGTTAAAGTAATGGGCTCTTTACCAACACGTAATCAAAAAAGTGTTGCCTAATGATTACAGTTCTGTTTTCAGTCTACTAGCAGCTTTATCCTTTATAAGTTCCTCTTTATGTTATTTACTTATCTAGCTGTCTTACCCCTTCACCTTTATTTACCCACTTACAAGAAAGAAAAAGAAATATTTTGAAAAAAAATAGTCTTTTTTGTGAAAGAGAGAATTTTAGAAGGTTCTGCGATTCTTTTAATTGTTCCAAGTTGTTAATGGTGAGCAGGTTATTATGTTTTGTGTTTGCATAGGGAAGTTTTTCATGCACAGATGTGTTCATTTATTTTATAAAAAAAAAAAGTTTCATTTTATACCAATTTTACTGTACCAGATGCATTTTTTTTTATTTTTTTTTAATATCTTCACAACAGCCAAGGGGAAATGAATGATTTATTCTGTACAGGACGATGAAATGAATGTTTTATTCTGTACAGGACGATGAAATGAATGATTTATTGAGTGCACTTGACAAAGAAAATGAACGCCTATTGCAAGAATCGAGAGCTACCAGTGGTCGTCAGAGAAACCGATATGAGGATGTAAGTGTTTAATTATTAATTAAAACTTAACATGTTTGTGTTTATTTATTTTTAACAAAATCAACAGTCATATGTTATGATAAAACATTTCGTCGATCCATTCAAATTAATGTGCTATAATTAAAAAATAAAAATCAGAAAGTTTGAATTTGATTGTTAAATGACAGCGAAGAGAAGATGACCGGTATGACAATAGACGAGACGATAGAGATGACAGCGATGATGACCAGCCCAAAGTTTCCAGGTCAAAGACGCTCATTAATTTTATGGGGGCAAAGAAGCGCGCGATGGTCAGTCACGCAGGTTCATTGATCGGGAAGCGCGCCCAGGATCTGTTACAGATGATTGAACTGGACACTTCTGAGTATGACCTGTTTGACATGCCGCCAGTCAAAGAGTATGACCTCTACATCAGGAGTTTTGGACGTACGGATACCACTCAGGTAAAGATTTAGGTAACATAAGTTCTGACATTACGTAGAAAATAATGGCAACATATTTATAGGAGAAATGTTTAATGCAGACTGTCTTCCTGATAACAAAGAAAAGACTCTGCTAACATTCTTGATAACACTGAGAGATTCAAGGAAGACAATCTCTTCTTTATAACACTGATTGATTCAAGGAAGACAATCTCTTCTTGATAACACTGATTGATTCAAGGAAGGAAATGAAATAGAGAGATTTAATGTAGAAAAGCTCTCCTTGATAATATAGAGAGTATAAAGGAAGACAGTCTCTCCTAGATAACATATAGAAATTCAAGGAAGACAATCTCTCTTTGATAACATAGAGATGTTTTGTGAAGACAATCTCTACTTGATAACATAGAGATGGTTAGTGGTTTAATCTCTACTTGATAGCATAGAGATGTTTAGTGAAGACAATCTCTCCTTGATAACATAGAGATGTTTTGTGAAGACAATCTCTACTTCATAACATAGAGATGGTTAGTGATTTAATCTCTACTTGATAACATAGAGATGGTTAGTGTTTTAATCTCTACTTGATAGCATAGAGATGTTTAGTGAAGACAATCTCTCCTTGATAACATAGAGATGTTTAGTGAAGACATTCTCTCCTTGATAACATAGAGATGTTTAGTGAAGACAATCTTTCCTTGATAACATAGAGATGTTTAGTGAAGACAATCTCTACTTCATAACATAGAGATGGTTAGTGATTTAATCTCTACTTGATAACATTGAGATGCATTTGGTTAGTGATTTAATCTCTACTTGATAACATTGAGATGCATTTGGTTAGTGATTTAATCTCTACTTGATAACATTGAGATGCATTTGGTTAGTGATTTAATCTCTACTTGATAACATTGAGATGCATTTGGTTAGTGATTTAATCTCTACTTGAGAACACAGAGATGTTTAGTGAAGGCATTCCCTCCTTGATAACATAGAGATGTTTAGTGAAGACATTCTCTCCTTGATAACATAGAGATGTTTAGTGAAGACATTCTCTCCTTGATAACATAGAGATGTTTAGTGAAGACATTCTCTCCTTGATAACATAGAGATGTTTAGTGAAGACAATCTCTACTTGATAACATAGAGATGGTTAGTGATTTGATCTCTACTTGATAACATAGAGATGGTTAGTGGTTTAATCTCTACTTGATAGCATAGAGATGTTTAGTGAAGACAATCTCTCCTTGATAACATAGAGATGTTTAGAGAAGACAATCTCTCCTTGATAACATAGAGATGTTTTGTGAAGACAATCTCTACTTGATAACATAGAGATGGTTAGTGGTTTAATCTCTACTTGATAGCATAGAGATGTTTAGTGAAGACAATCTCTCCTTGATAACATAGAGATGTTTAGTGAAGACAATCTTTCCTTGATAACATAGAGATGTTTAGTGAAGACATTCTCTCCTTGATAACATAGAGATGTTTAGTGAAGACAATCTTTCCTTGATAACATAGAGATGTTTAGTGAAGACATTCTCTCCTTGATAACATAGAGATGTTTAGTGAAGACAATCTCTCTTTGATAACATAGAGATGGTTAGTGATTTAATCTCTACTTGATAACATAGAGATGCATTTGGTTAGTGATTTAATCTCTACTTGATAACATAGAGATGTTTAGTGAAGACAATCTCTCCTTGATAACATAGAGATGTTTTGTGAAGACAATCTCTACTTCATAACATAGAGATGGTTAGTGATTTAATCTCTACTTGATAACATTGAGATGCATTTGGTTAGTGATTTAATCTCTACTTGATAACATAGAGATGTTTAGTGAAGACAATCTCTCCTTGATAACATAGAGAGATTCGAGGAGGACTGTAAGTCTGGCCTTGATAACCTATAGATGGTAAGCGTAGACAATCTCTATTCACAAACTTTTAAATATTCAATGCAGTATCATCATAGTATGAAAAGCACATGAAGTGAATTGACATATCTGCCAATTTGAAATAAAGAGGCAGGCATTTCATAACTAGGTTTTTCATGATACAATTGTATAATTTTCATTATTGTACGTATGTGCGTTTTACTATAATTTTGAATGAAGGTATTCACCTGGTTATTTTGGATATTTGTACAGGGTACATTTTATTAACTTTATGATATATCATTGTCTTGTACCTATATAGCTGCTTTCCCTTACTTCATTGGAGGTGACTATGTTTGTCAGTGATATTGTGAAATTATTTTACGTTTTGTCACTAAAGGAGAACAGTCATTAGAAAACAAATATGTTTAAGCTCACCTACCCAAGGCCAGTTGAATTACCTATGAACAGTGATACAGTGTCCTTAATTTGTTGGTTGTCAACTTTTTGTCAACTATTCAAATCGCCTGTCGTCCGTGGTCCATCGTCGGTCCGTCATTCTGTCCGTCCTTAAACAATTCTTGTTAGCAATATTTCTCAGAAAGTGCCTGAGGGATATCTTTTAAACTTCATGTGAAGGTTCCCCTTGGTCTGTAGTTGTGCATGTTTACTTTGAAGTCTGATCGGATATACAAAATGGTGGCCATCTTGGAGTTTGCTGAAACTACGAACTCATATTGAAGGTTGTCTTTTATACACATCAGTATGAGGTTTATATCAAAAATTACCTCCAGGTGCATTTACTGTTAACATGACTCGATCAAACAGATAAGGGAAAAGAAGAGAAAATATCAAACTGATGTAGAACTAATGAAGATGGTACATTGGTGGGCGCCAAGATCCTTCTGGGATCTCTTGTCTTTTAAATGGCTACTTGTTCTGATATTCTGATTAAATTCGGTATGCAGCATCCCTGGGTCAAGGGCCGAGTCATATACGACTAATGATGAAGTGCTTAGCCCCTCATAGTAAGAGGGTGACATTTTAGTGTTTATTTCATTTTCTGAGGCTAACTTCAACAAAACTTCATAAGGACAGAAGATTGTTTTATGGCCTTGACCAAGTGTTGTAATATTTCCAGCTAAGGCTCTTAGCTTTTGTTAACTTTTTTGGCTGGCTATTTTTCTTTTTCAAAAATAAATACAAATGATGATCTTCCTGGTTAACTTTGAATCGGTTCAAAATCAAAGATGATAAATTCGGTCTCTGCGCTTGGCTGAGAAATTGGGAATATAATCCTGTTATAGTCTTAAATATACTGTGATGTTTTATTTTTTTAAATTCTAAGATGGTTGCCTTGACCTCTGATTTGCTGAGAAATTTTCAACCACAACCAAGTGTTACAGTAAAAAGTCAAAGATGGCCACCATAGCCTTCAATTTTTAGAAATAATTTCACAATTTCTTGGATTGTTAAGATAAAAGATAAAAACAGTTAAGCGATACAGGCCCTTTGGGACTCTTGTTTTCATATTTGTAAAATGTTTTAAGAGAAAAAAAAAATCATCGAAGTAAAGGTTCCACTAGGTATTGTGATACTCTATCACCTGTATATATCAAAATGATCACATTTCTCTTTCTTCATTTAACTCACAACTACAAATGTTCTTGTCAATTTCACATTCTATATATACATGTTTATTAATCAACAAAGTTAATTATTTATAACCAACGGTGTATATTTTATGTTTTTTCTATACCTTGATAAATTGCAAACTTTTATACCTTGAGTATATTTTGCTATTGATAAAAGAAGAACACATTCATTAAACAACTTTTACCAATAATAATGTTATTAACATTTCTTTAAATTATTAGAAACTGTAATTGGAATAAAGATAATAAAAGTGCAATCTTATTTAGACAAGATCTTTGCATCACTCCTGTTTACAGATATGTCGCATGGACATATCGGTACTAAGGAGGGATGCGAAAATCTGATTTTAATCAGATTGATTAAAGTGAAAGAAGTCATATTTAAGAGAATTGTATACCACTCCAATCAGAAAGACAGTTTCAGGATATACCGGTAGATTAATTGTTTGATAATTCTTGACTACCTGCGGAAACCTGAATTTGAGGTTTTATTATGGGGCCTGGGAACATAAGATTTTAGTGTAAACGTGCAAACTGTATGTGATAATAAGATAAGCTTCAGGTACGTACGCCAGCTGTGACCAGGGTAGTGACAAATAGCCTGGAGTATGGTGCATTGTATTGTGTCATGGCTAATTATCTGAATACATCAATAACACCATAAAATGCAAAGCTGATGGTGATGGGGCAGAGGTTGGCTGTACAAACTGAACAGGGTAACATATAGTGAAAAAATCTGTTTAATACAAAAAAAGGTTGGCAATAGGAGGGTGGAACTATAACTGTCATGAAACAGGAACAAACACTGATTTCTCATTGTTTTTCTCTGTATGATAAAGCCATGAGGAATCACTGTTACCAGATAAAAGCCTTTGTAATGTAAATGTTTAGGGGCTAAAGTTTTTAGTACCTCGCTTTCCAAACAGGCATATGTCCAGACCAATGACGATGATATCGACAGAGAAGTACAGACCGATGAGATTGACATGCGCCAGAAATGGACACAACATCCACCTGACGACTCTATCGGCTGTGGAAGTATGTGTGTTTGTTGGTACTTTATATATAACGCTTAAAGAGTTTATTTATAAATACATTATGAGACTAGACAGCAGCTTGGCACCAAAAATAAAAGGACAGAAGTCTGTAATAGATACACCAAGGGCAGGTAACTCATAGTTCAGGAATATCTGCTTGATTGCAATCATTTACCATCAGACCTGCTAATGATACATTCATTAAACAAATAGAATTCATTAAAATTAAGAGAGAAATATGTTTCAGATCTGTGAATTTTTTTTTTTGCTTTGAAAGAAATTCTTTTGAATATTGCTTCATCATCAACAATTTTCTTGTTCAACTTTCAACCGTCAACTTTAATTCTCTTTACAGACAGCGTTAATGGTATGAGTCAGAGGTTATATTTATCAGAGTTAGTTAAATAGTTGTGAATCTAATATATATATTTGAAATTGATAATTATATATATGTAGCAATAATTAGAAAATTCTCTAATTGCAACTGGAAAGAGTTTTGTTATTGATGGCATTGTACTGACAGTTGTGTTTATAAAAGGACTTTGACATACAAAGTTACTTCTATGCTGTAGGAGGAGATGGAGCTAAAGATCTAGAGGAAGAGGAAAAGTCTTATGTAAACAAACAGCTGGACTTGAGTCGCCTCAGTAAATTTGTACAGAAAGCAGGACAGGTAACGTTCTCAGAACCAGAGTAGTTTCTAGTTTTGTCTCCGGGGCAACCAGAAATATCCATTAATTAGTAGATGGCTCATAAGTCATCTTACTGGCTTCTGAAAAAAAGTTCATGTATTCCATTCTTGTTCAACATCCAGTTACCTACATATATTGTTGCTAAAAACTTTTGTAAAGTACAAAGCCATATAATGAGGACAACTTTTTCATTTCCTCTCTGGTTGTCTTAAGAGCACCTAGTTTAAAAAAATCTCTTTCAGAGATTTTCTCACTGGTCTATGTCCTGGTATAAATTCAGCTTCAGAAACAAAGAGCATTAGAGTGATTAATGTTACAGAATTAATGTATTCTTAGCAAACCTGCTAAAGGGATACAATGATGACACTGTTCACATTCAAAAGTTTGTTTTATCTAAGAGCTTTGAGCCTATAGAGTTTTTTGCCTTTGTTATGAAATGTGTATGATCTTGTATTGTAGAAGTGTGTATGGGTAGCCCTCTGAGTAATACATTTCGGTATGTAACTGTGTTATTCCATACAGGTGATCTCCATTTTACTTGATGAAGATAAAGACATGACGAAAACCGATATGAATGAAAACAAATCCAACTTGGGTGTGAGCGCAGGTTACACACAGCTAGCACCATTACCTATCCTAAAAGGTAAGCTTCATGATTGTTGTTGAAATGTAAAGTAGGCACTGTTATTGTATAATATAAAGTGTACAATAGAATTATACTATAAAGCTGTATAATAGGGGGGTTTTCACATTTGGAATCGAAGAACTACATGTTATAACATGTTTAATCATGTTTCACTCAGGCTTAAGAGAACTTGTGAAATATGAATAATATTGGGGAAAGCAAAAAATTGTGTCCCCCTGCCATAAATGATATAAATGCATGGTATATCGGTATGTTAAATTACGTAGTACATGTATATATATCAATGCGTTATATGTCAAATTACCTAGTGTGTCTCAGTGTCTGTATTTCAAACGGTCATAATGTCTTGATGATTTATTAGTAAATAGGAAACAAAAAACCATCCTCCTTGTGTTTGTTTTATAGGTCGCTGTGTCCTGTACTCTCAGTTTGCACCCTCTCAACCCAACATGTTGATCACAGCCTACAGTAAGCCTGCACAGGTAGGCAGTTTCTGCTGTAGTATATGTAGGAGTAATAGTATCTTCCGGATAGGTTAATGTATAAATCTACAAGATGGATATGTAATAGATAAATACATAAATCCTCTGTATGTTTATCTGATAAATAAATACATATCAATCTACCATACATATATACCCAATAGATAACTATATAAATCTACAAGGCATATTTGTCAATGAGATCAAATTTGTACTCTTACATTTTAAAAGTAAATGCAAGTATTCAACATCTTCTATGGATTATTGAAGCAAGAATTTTCACTTGGGCATATTAAAATTATCTGATTTAAAAAGATTATCTCATTTTAGATTTAGGGAGGTTCTAATGTGTCTAGTTATATGGGCAAGGATATTCAATATTTAATAATTATTATGTTTAATTGATCACCATTTGGTGAGTTCTGTAGCAATTCAGTGCTTACTTTTACAGGAGGATGAGGGCAGTTCTATCACAAAGAGAGGCATAGTGTGTGTCTGGAACACAGACGACCCGTCCTACCCTCAAAGGTAAGTAACTCTATCACAAAGAGAGGCATAGTGTGTGTCTGGAACACAGACGACCTGTCCTACCCTCAAAGGTTAGTAACTCTATCACAAAGAGAGGCATAGTGTGTGTCTGGAACACGGACAATCCGTCTTACCCTCAAAGGTAAGTAACTATATCACAAAGAGAGGCATAGTGTGTGTCTGGAATACATACGATCCGTCTTACCCTCAAAGGTAAGTAACTCTATCACAAAGAGAGGCATAGTGTGTGTCTGGAACACAGACGACCCATCTTACCCTCAGAGGTAAGTACAATTTGAACCTCGATAAGAAAGAAAGGTGTAGTGTGTGGCTAGAACACAAGACGACCCGCTCTACCCTCAGAGGAGCATAACTTTATAACAAGGAAGGAGCTGTTTGTGATTAGAATACTCATTCTACTCTTAAAATTAATTGAGGCATAGAAAATGTAAATAACATGCAATATATGAATTTAACTTGTTTAATTTACACATAGTAATACCTTGACTTAAGTACAAATTTGAAGAAAAAAAACATGATAGTTTCTCTTAACTTGAAATCATTATGTTCAAAAGAAAAATATTCAAAACTTAATCTGAAGCAGACCACAGGATTGATGATTGACATAATGCTAAACTTGATCTTCTTTTATTCAACACAGAATTTTGGCGTGCGAGTCCCAGCCAACATGTTGCTGTTTTGGTTCCAACAAGACGTCACTTGCATTTGCAGGCATGGTCAGTGTAAAAGATCAGTTACTACTCTTTGTTATTGTATATTGCGAATTCATTGATCAAAGAAGTAATTACAAGTTTGACATAAAGTCATTCTCCCTTTGAGTGGGTGTTCATAATCCCCAATTCATGTTCCGAAGAAATGGTGTTTTGCGAGAAGCCATGAATTTCGGGCCCCACAATATCTTTTTTATTTCACAATTAGTAATTCTGTGCACTACTTAGTGTATACTGGTTGAACTGTATGTTGCTAACAGGTCGATGGCTCTATTTGTGTGTGGGACCTAAGAGAACAGTCCTCCATGCACCGTTCCATTTCCTACGACAACCAGGAACACATCCTCCGATACCCGACGTTCAACACAGGTAAGATCAAAGTCTATCTTAATTCAATTCATATGAATTAAATTTTAAGTTCATATGTTATCTACTTTTAAAATAGCATAATTTGGGGTCAACAATAAGAAACCCTACATACTGTTATGGTCTAATATGTTGGAGTATCAATGGGTTCCAGTTGATATTTGTTATTGGTACTTATTATGGATATTGTATAAGTACTTGTTGCAATATGCATTAGACACAGTTTTATAGCATACAAATGCAATGTCTTCATGTAAACCATTGGCAAGAAGCTTCATTTCTGGTTATCAGACTTTGAACCAAATTGAGTAATAATACGGACATGACCAAAAAGTAAATAAACAATACAGAAATCACCATTGATTCTCGTTTGGTGTTTTTTGGCGAGAAGTTGCATATTCTACCATGAAACCATAGCAATGATATTTCTATTAAAGTTACCATACCCTTTTATGCAGAAATAAAAGGATATTTTTAAAAATCACAGTGAATCTTGTCTCGGACCACACCACAAGCTCACACTATGGTTCACTATGATATCCAGCACATCTGTTTCCTGCTTCGTTTANAAAATGTTTCTTCAACATCAACAAATAACTGGCTGACAACATGCTTTATCCCAGATCAACCCATATTTGCATGGCATGTGCCATATCAGTGTATCTTCCAGGTCAACATTTTCAGAAAAATCACACAGCATATCCGATGGTATTTGTTCTGCTGTTAGAACGATTGCAATTAGTTTTGATGTTGTGGAGCAGTATATGATACAAAGGAAACTATGTGACAAAATACCAAAGATGACAATCAGATTTGATTCAGTCTCTGATATGTTACTGATTTTTGTTTAGCTGGAGTGATGGATGCAGACAATCACCACAGTCCTGTGACCACCCTCAACCCAGTGGCCAGCTACACCCTAAGGTAAGTTCAACCTCAACCCTGTGTGGCAGACAATGTATATCCCTCAATTACAATTCTAAAAACACTATCGATCACAGAATGATAAAATGTATTACAGTCAGATGTTGTATATATATACATGGCACATGTAGTAAGGTATTTCAGTTTATGATTGCATACAACTTTTGTCTGGCAATGGACCACTTTTACATGCGACTATTTCTGTTGTAATTGTAGGACAGTGTATATATGTATGTTCTTGCTGGAAAATGTGTGAAGTGAATTTTTCTTAAACCTGAAAAATTAACTGTTTATTACAACATATATATAAATGTACTTTGAATCTTACATTCCAACTATCAGAAAGGTTACAAAGATTTAATATAGTTATATGATGTAGTGAAAATATTTTTATTAATTTTACCTCCATAGTAAAAGTTATTTTCATTTAATAAATTTGTTTTTGTGAAGTACACAATATCTGATAAAGGTTATAATAATTGTATATTATTTGTTTCAGCACCTCTGATTCAGGAGGTAGTGGTGGTAAGTTGATGAATGCTGTCTCACCAGGTTTTAGTGTCATAATCCAATAACTATAATGTGTATTAGGTGAATGTAAATTTAAAAGATTTGATTGCCTCAGAGGTGGGAAAGTCTTTTATGATGTAATGCATACTTCAAATGTCTATGTATTAATACATTGAACGAATGCAAAGGCTAAGGTCTATTCTTGTAAGTTAGCAGTTTAGAAGTAACTTACTCAAAACTACTGTATACCGGGAAAGTTCCCCCCATTAAAACTTTCGCCCTTCGCCAGAATAATCCATATTATCCCAGTGTTAATTTCGCCTTTCACATTTAATTAATGTGTATATAATGTTGTTTACTAATGTTCGCTATGATAATAAATTTAACCCTCATTCCCTCATTACGACAGGGGAAAATTAAACTGTAGTGAAAATTTCCCGGTATAAATTCACTCATTGTAACATGTCTCCATAAATTAATTTCTAAGCAAGCATTTGAAAAGTTTTGTAGAATTTATTCATAAGATAAAGATATATTTTTTACATTATAATTTATGGATAAAAGAACTCACCAAGGTGCATTATGCTACTGAGTAAGTTATAAGCCAATAAATTCAAAAACACTGTCATTCCCTGTTTCAGACACAAGCTCGGGACTGTCCTTCCAGTTGATATCGTGTGAGGAACAGGGTGTTCTTAATTTCTGGGTAAAGAAGTAGTAGATTCAATAATAATACTATAGCCACTTTTGTTAAGATATCAGTTTGGTAAAGTTAGATATGCAACCTTTGTTGTTTGATGAGGAGGAGAAATCTTGATTATAGACTTTTAAAAGAACCTCGAAATCTATGTATATATCAGCATACAGTAAAAAACGCTTTATATTGCCATCATTTGGCAACATAAAGAGGAAAGGTATTTGTCATACATTGAAAAAGACATAGAAGAATCTTTATTAAGAATATTAGTGAGAGATCTAGAGGACCTCGAAAATATGTTAGCAGTATGCAACATTGTATATGAAATGAATGGCATTTTGTTGAGATTTTACTGAACACTTGTACACATACAGACACATTTTGGTCAGCAATATAAACATGAAAACAAGCATGCCATACCTGGCATGTTGTTTACTGTCCATTTTGGAGACCAGTCTCACAAACAAGTCCGCATTAAGTACCATTGTACCGACTCATTTGTACTGGAGATTATATAATGATATATGGACATTGTTTACTGTTGTAACCTTCAGGTTGTAGCCGAGATTGCCTCCCCTGATATGGCTGGGTCGGAGACGGATCTGGGGCTCTCACCAGGAGGGAAAATAAAACTTATAAAAAGTTCAGCTATAACATTGCAACACCCTCCAAGGTATGTCTGTTATATTGTAACTATGGCTATAATCACCTAAGTTCAGCGGTATGTCTGTTATATTGTAACTATGGCTATTATCACCTATGTTCAGCTTATGTCTGTTATATTGTAACTATGGCTATAATCACCTAAGTTCAGCCGTATGTCTGTTATATTGTAACTATGGCTATAATCAACTAAGTTCAGCGGTATGTCTATTATATTGTAACTATGGCTATAATCACCTAAGTTCAGGGGTATGTCTGTTATATTGTAACTATGGCTATAAGCACCTAAGTTCAGCGGTATGTCTGTTATATTGTCACTATGGCTATAATCACCTAAGTTCAGCGGTATTTCTGTTATATTGTAACTATGGCTATAATCACCTGAGTTCAGCGGTATGTCTTTTATATTGTAACTATGGCTATAATCACCTAAGTCCAGCGGTATGTCTGTTATATTGTAACTATGGCTGTAATCACCTAAGTTCAGCGGTATGTCTGTTATACTGTAACTATGGCTATAATCACCTAAGTTCAGCGGGATGTCTGTTATATTGTAACTATGGCTATAATCAACTAAGTTCAGCGGTATGTCTATTATATTGTAACTATGGCTATAATCACCTAAGTTCAGCTGTATGTCTGGTATATTGTAACTATGGCTATAATCACCTAAGTTAAGCGGTATGTCTGTTATATTGTAACTATGGCTATTATCACCTATGTTCAGTGGTATGTCTGTTATATTGTAACTATAGCTATAATCACCAAAGTTCAGCGGTATGTCTGTTATATTGTAACTATGGCCATAATCACCTAAGTTCAGCGGTATGTCTGTTATTTTGTAACTATGGCTATAATCACCTAAGTTCAGCGGTATGTCTGTTATATTGTAACTATAGCTATAATCACCTTGACAATATCAACATCCATGCAATTGCTACATCAAAAATGTACACGATTACCATTACAAATTGATCACACACGAAAGTAGGAACAGTCTTTGTATGAAACATACTAAATTGATTTAGTTGTTTGTGTCGTATGGTGACCGAATGTATAATGTATTTTCCTTGGTGAAAGTCAGTCTAGTTTTATAGGAATTCTTTCGAAACAGAGAAAAATGTACCTTGAAATATGTTGACGGTAATTGAGGTGGCAAATGAAATGTGGGACATTATATCAAGGTTTTATGTATATCCTAAACTTATCAGCCGAGAGTTTTGTCTCTATATTGTTACAGGTACAAGAGGGTTGGAGACAGCCTACGGGCCACTGAGGTACAGCTAGCACCGACCGATCCCAACCATTACTACGTGGGCACAGACTCTGGCTACATACTACATGGCCTGAGGTTTGGTAATCGTGCCTTCCCCTCCTCATACTCAACAGGCAGTGGTGAGTATAAGATTGACTCATTCACCCCTGAAATTTCTTGATGAACTATTCCAACGTTTGAATTGGAAGAGTTCAATAATGTGTCTTGTGGGTGGATGGGTTAAAGGTCAAAGATCTGTAACAATGAAGGTTTAGAACCATGCAATTACTTCATCCAGAAACAAAAATGAAAACCAGTGTATTTAAGTCAAAAGGTTCCTTGTTTCTCAAGATTAAAAACCTGTAGGTGTCAATATCAACTGTGGTTTATGATCTATGACAGTAAATGAGTTCAGAAACAGGAACTATATAATTGAACTGAATATTTTGAGAATTTCTGTAATGTATAAGTCACGTATACGAGTACAACTTACCACAATGAAGTTTAAAGTTTAATGGAAATCTTTGTCCTCTATTTAAGATGCTCCTATGGATATAACAACACTGGACTTCTCTCCCTTTGGACATCCTTGTTTCTTGGTAAGTTTATCCATAGGTGCCAAACATACAATTGATTCGATTGTCATTATTTTATCAATTTGTTGAAATTGCTTGTAAGTTGTAAAGCTTTAAATAAACCAACACATTTTCATGTAAAAGTTACTTTGAACCGTTTCTTGTTGTAAATTAAATTCCAAGTCACTAAGTGGCGACACGGGTAAACATGTAACCCGTCCCTCTGACTGCCTGCAGTATTACAGTGTTATTTGGCAAAATGTCTCAAAACTTTCTGTCAGCTGTTCAGGACTTTACTGACTCAGCGCGTAGTAGCTTAGTGAGTTGTTTTTCAGTGGTCATTTGCACTCATTACTTGACAAAGGAAACGGGCATTTTTGAATTTTAGGCAAGAGCTCATAATTTAAACGTTAAAGTAGCAGGCCGAATTCCCATTGATCTTCAACGTTTAGTATACTTAGTAGTTCTCCACTTTCAGTAATACAGTAAAGGAACAGAATAATGATGCGTGTTTCAGCCAGATCATACTGATTGTTCAATTTTGTGTTCACAGACAAGCAGTAACGATGGATCTGTTCATCTATATAATGTGAAAACAGGTAAGTACTTATAATGGTTTAAAACAGGCTATTCAAGACACAGTTTCTTAGCAAAAATAATAACAAGGTATGAAAAACTCTCAACAAGTCATTATCATCACAATGTTTTCTGAAAACTAGACACATGACATTCTGTATGTTCCAATGACCCATCTTTTAGAATTTAATAAAAACATCCCCTAAAGAACTTCAACTGTAAATGTCGTGGAAATTTAAAATATTTCACTCTTTTTGAATGGTTTAAGAATATCAAGAAACTTTGTGATGTAACATCAGCTGTTCTCAATTGGAGCAATGATAAGTCCAAAATAATTTGCATTTTTATCAGATATCCAATAAGCTTGTTTTTAAATTCAGTCAGTCTGTTACAATATAGCTATATGTAACAAAGTCATAGGTTAATCAACATCTGTTTGGCACAATTTTTTTTATTTATTTATGCATGACATCTTATTACTGTTATATACATCTTCACAGATACACCCGTAATGTCCTGGTCGTCTAGGATCTGGAATACACAGACACTACGTTGTGTGCGATGGTCGCGGAGTCGGCCATGTGTCTTCTATGTATTGGATGACAATGCCCATCTCTACACCTTCGACATCCTAGAGGGCGATGCCATGCCTGTCAAGATAGACACACTGTCTACACAAGACAGGTAGGTTTGCGGGAGAAAGCAGTCAGAGGTGTAATGTGTCGGGGACAGTGGTATGAATCTGTAATTGTTTTATTATGATTTTATCGGTAACACAAATTTAACTCTGATACCATTCATTTAAACTGTACTTTTAATCTATTCCCATATCCTTTTTCAATTTAAAAGATTATTGAACCCAAATTGGTTTAATGAAAGAAAAAAGAAAAGAAATGTGATACGACTTGAGGGTCCAGTTACCACTGATCCTCTGTATCTACATCTAATATCAGTGTTCTTTCTTTTGCCATTTGTTGTATCCCTTATGTATAGCATCAGTTACTTTCAAAATCATGACATGAAAATACATGTAACTTGTCAATTTTGTTTTCAGAGTTATGCACCTTCAATTCACCTCCGACACCAAAAGCTCAACACAGGGACGATTTCCACAAATGGTAAGCCCTACAATACCAAACATTAAATGAAAGTATATCCATACAAGCATTTATGAAACAGAAGCAGTCTCAAACTCATGTCAATTCTGTATTAATCATCAATTTTAGGTAAATAATTGTGAAGTTGTTAGACTTTTAAAGTGAGGGGAACATTCAGTAACATGTACCAGTATATATATGTTCATGATTGCAAAAGTTAATTTTGTAAATTTTCACTGTACTATTTATTGTTCTTGCACAAGAGAAATGGACTTACTGAACTAATTACATGAACATTTTCTTATTTAATGCAGCTTGTAAGTCACGAATCGGGAGAGACGGAAATACACACAATAGCAAAGCAATACAGAGAGCAACAGACACTGGAGAGCGACTTCCTGCCAAGCTACCTGAACCGCTTTTGAACAAACTAAAACATGACAGACTGGAGCCAAAGATTATAATTCACCATCAGATATGAAATTTTTACAACATTACTCAAAACAATAGTCGAAGACTGTACTCTTGTCTGCTGAACTCTTGCAAATCAGTTTGAATTCATGTTTAAAATGCTACAACTTCAGAACATCAGTGTAGGTCATCAATTTGTAGCTTTAAACTGTTGAGCATTGTATAATGGAGACCGCTTTAACCTCCAAATTCATCATTGTTTTATCATTTAGAAATAGTCAAACCATCTCCTAATTCTCTATTGTAATACTGTATAGTGCTGAAATTTCAAAACATTTTATTTTTTTATTACAACTGCTGCTTGAACAAATATATACGAAACATAATACAATGTTTCTGCAAAATCATTCTGAGATTTAATAGGATTTAATAGGAAAAAAGATGGACGCAGGCAAATATCTGCCTCTTTATCCATATCAATGATACAATACATACATATATACAATATGTAATTCATTAACGTTCAATTTCAACACACATGTAAAAACTAATAAAATTTACCAAGAGATCATATTTCATATCTATAGAATCTGATGCAGTTTACCCAAGATACAAACGCAGGAAATTTCACTAATAATGATATATCAGTCATTTGGAATGTGTTTAGGTTTAGAAATAGATAATGGTACTAATTTTCATGTACAATTAATGTCCTGTCCATTAAAATTTAACTGATATGTTGTGTCCCACAGGTTTCATGATACAGTATAACATTACACCTTCAAAAGGTGGTACTTAAATTTCTTTTTTATTTGCGCTCTCCTTGCGAAAATATTGCAATCATTATTACATGCTGGTAGTATTTCCAGGGAAGATAGGTTTGTGGGTCAATATCAAATGTATACAGTATCGGATTGATACCGTGTTGTGAAAAGCAAATGTGCAAATCTGTAGTAAACATGAATTAAAAGAACCCAATAATCATATCATATGACTACAATATTAAAACGATGTTAGTGCTCTGAAAATGTTCATTCATATACAGTTGTATTGTGTAATTGTTGGTGAAGTGATTTCACCATGCTAAGCATTTGGTCATATTCCGTCCATTCAGCGTCAACAAGTGTTCAAAAGGAGTTATCTGTGATAAATTATTTATTAATCGTTGTCATATCATTGTATAATATTTGAAATCAGATATGTATTTAATTCATCTAGCCTTTGCTTTGAGAACAAAATTCTTTAGTGATATATTGTATGTGTAAAAACTGTAATACACATATTGTGTCAATGCTAAAGACAAATTGTCTTGTTATTGTTTTGATAATATAATATTAGGTTGATGATGTTAAATGTTTGTATATTTCACATATTAACATTTTCAAACGTAACTGTCGATACCTACCTAGAATCTCTTCAGTTATTCAATGGTCACAAAGCCCCTGTAAATGTTGGGAGTACGATTGTAACAAAGCAATGATATATTTTTCCAAGATATATTTTCAAATTGCTACTTCTAGTAGGTCTGTGTTTTAGTCTCTTTGATCTGTGTTAACACGTCAATCTCCTGAAAAACAATGTTAAACCTCAAGAGATGTGTGGATATGTATTCTTTATTGATCTTGTTGGTCGTTTTCGCAGTGAGACAAGAGACAAGACGCGCGTGTAAAATTGATGATTTTTGTTTTCTTTTAATCATCTCACAGATTTCTTTGCTTTCATCATCTGGTCATCACTAGATGTGTCAATTTTAATTGTGTGTTGCTGTGGTGGCAGTACTCGTAGAGTTATTTACAACTTTTAGTAGAAACATGACGAGGAAAAATGGAGAGAAAAAAATGTTTTCATTTTCAGATTTATGGAGAATCACTTTTTGTTTAAAAGCAAATTAAGTCTTTTGTTTTATTCCAATTTGTAGCTGTAATATATTGTTGTAGAATGCAAGAAGTTGTCATGACATGGATGATCTGTGAAGAAATTTGTCTCAAAAATAAACCATCAAAATTTTGTTTTAGATTCTGTTTTATTTGCTACACATATCTTTTCAACTCTTTTGTAGAAATGTTACATAATGTTAAGTCTCAGAATTAAAGAGTCCAAAGACTTGTGAATCTTCTATACCAATACCAGTATTTTCATTTTTATGCTTTGTATAGAAATCTTCTTAAAATATTGATTAATCTATATAATAACATATAAATACAAATACAATTAGCATTATAACACTGTCATCAATATAATAGTGTAATGGCATACTATATTGACATCCTCAGATGACCTTAGCTGTTGATAAGCGCTATACAACCAACCAACCAACATACCATAGTGATCGAGTAAGAAAGCAAAATGCAACAATAACACACTTAATTATGTACACTGTACACAAATAATATATATACACTGTACAATCAGTCTTTATTGTCTTGGCAAACGTTTATAAAAAAAAGTGTCCCTGGGAAAGTTAGCGATTCCTCTTTGAACATTTTTCTTTCAGCAATGTAATCTGTATTTATTACCGATGGCTATTTATCAGATTCTGAACATATTGAGTGTAACTGTGACTGAACAACTAAAGCTAAAATTGATTCATTTTTGAAAGTGAAAACATAATATGTTATGCAATAATGTCAAGAAAAAAACAGATAAAAAAAAACTAGAAAAAAAAAGAATGAGAAGTGACCCTTAGTTGCTGTGCAAATTTAAAGTCAGTCAAGTTATTATAACTAGTAATGGTAAAGCTGAGCCTGATCTTGGAACCCTGACACAAACTCATTTAGGGTATTCTTCTCATACTTGACCTTTATATAAAGTTTGATGGAAATCTGCAAAGAAATGGAGTTGCTAGTGATTTCACAGAATTGGTTTAAATATTTCTATAAATAGGTAGGACAGTGACCTTGGAACCCTGAAATACGAACTCATTCCAGGTATTCTTGAGCTTTGTATGAAGTTTCATAAAGTTCTTTTAAGAAATGAAAGCATCATAGTGATTACACTGAAACAGAATGGGACTGACGAGGGTAACACTATATGCCTACCAATAAAACGACAGACGGGGAAAAAGATACATTCACCAACTGATAACAATTTACTGAAACAAGTACATTGATGGCATCTAGTGACTTTATCTAGATTCCTCTGAACATTTGTGTGGGGGGGGTATCATTGGGGAAAAAGTGATATAATATACCGCAAACTGAAATGCGACGGTAACAGAAACACTTTTTCTGGAAAAATAAATATCCCTCAGTAAAACATTACGAGTATATGAACATATATGTTAGAAATCAGATTTTAAATTCTACTTAATATTGCCTCCTAAAACACCAAGCTTATTCCAAAGTTAGAATATGCAATCAAAAAGTAACATGTACTTACAAGAAAATTTAACAATCTTTCTAATGTTCAAATCTTTATATTTGTGATATTTTGGAAAAATGGCAGTGGACATGATGAAATTAAAAGGAGTTCATGTCAAACCACGTGATATAAAACAAACTTGATTACATATACATGTACATTGTAATACACTTGTATATAGGGAAAATAGTTGACAGAAAATTTACCAATAAAAGGAATCTGCTGTACTTTTAATTTTATTTCATAAGGAAATTGTAGAGTTTTTGACGTAACACACACACACACACACACACCTTCAACAAACTTCAGAAATGTTTGTTTTCTGTTGTTCCATTTTCTTGCCTAATGGTAATACATTTACACATATTTGTAACAAAATTAAAATGTACTTTACTACCGATATGACCACAATGGAAATCTGAAAATCTCTCTTGAAGTACAGTATGCAGAGAACATCACAGATCTTAACAGTAGCTGTGCCTCCAAAGGTTCTGGGATTATGTGTCGTCATTTTCCTCCTTATCTGGTTGTGACTTGATGACTCCAGAGAAGCCACCAGCGGATGACCTTGACATGGAGGCCATATTGTACATGTGGGCTTGTGCCCTCCGAACTGTTAACAACGCCCTCTGTCTCATATGCTGACTTTGGTATGACTGGTTGTTTAAACCGCGACGCTCATTACGGAATTTGTCGTTCAAAACAACAAACCATGAATCCTGAAAAGAAAAAAAAAACATTAAAAAAAATCACATGTATCTGAAACAAACCATTTGGATTGAAATGTCTCACCTGTGCCCTGCTTTGGATTGATATGTCTCACCTGTGCCCTGCTTCGGATTGATATGTCTCACCTGTGCCATGCTTTGGATTGATATGTCTCACCTGTGCCCTGCTTTGGATTGATATCAAAAGTCAAGTTTGGCTGGTCTAGCAGTTATAGTTTCAGTGAAATTAACTTAAACGCAAACTTAATGTTGATACTGTCGCCGGAAAAGCAACATGTTAGTCTCGCTACCGCAAAAACAGACAATGCCTTTAATTTCATTTACAATATTTCATAACTATAGGGGGGCTTTTTACAAGACAATGAAAGAACAATTGTTATTGCGTCTCTACTGAACTGCATTAGATATGGGTGGGCTTATTAATTACCAGGCATGGGCTTATTGTCAGATAAATATAGTATGTTCCCATATAGAAACTTACTGCAGGAGATATGTGACTGTCCTTGGACCGTACATTGAGTTTAGGGAAACTGTTCACAATGGCTTTAGCCACTTCCATCTTCTGTGTAGGGGTAGGGTACCTTTAAAATCAAAATAGATACATGTTATTCAGTAGTTCATTTAAATCCATGTTTTGGTAATTACAAATCATTTTAATCAATTGAAACAGATGTTTGGTCAAAGCTCTATACACATTATCTACAAACAAATACTTTATATTTGTTTAAATCACGACAATCAGAACCAGTCGCAATTAGATTTCAGAGCTAAAAAAATGTTTACTACTACTGGGGGTTCATTTTGAAATAGACATGCTTAAATAACTGCATTCCAAACCTCCTAAGACTTGATATAAAAAAAATAGAATTACTAAAACTAACAAACCAATAAAAATTTATTTTTTTAGTTCCTGATGTAAGCATTTGGAAAAACAAATATCAGATAATTGAAGTCCAGTTTTATAAAGTACTGGTAGGTGCATCCAAAAATCTACTCACAATCCCGTGTATTTTACAATCTCATTGAACACCGTATCCAGGAACTGCATCTTGGCCGGTCGTGTGATGACCCCAGAGCTGATCATATCACGAGCCTTGTTTCCGTACGTTAGCCTCTCCACTGGAAATGGGTCCGGAAAGACTTTCGTGCGTTGCATGATCCGAGACTGAACTTTGGGATTGAGGTTGTCGGAGCTCCCTCGCAGGGATTCTATGTACTGCCATTTCTTGTGTTTCCAGGACTGCTCTGTGTTTTCTGTAGATTCTGTCTCATGCTCACCGCCTAAAGTTAAAAATAACTCTAAATGATCCCACAATTAGTGCTTATTATAAGATATGAATTCAAAATAATAGAAATGTTTCCCCAAGACATTAGCACTGCATCAAAGGCTAAACTATACTTCATCTCCACCTGGCCCCCAACCCCCTTTCTTGATTGATCAATTTCATTTTCTCTAACTCATAGCTGAACAAAAGAGATTATTACACATATTAATTAGCTCCACACATGTACATCCAGGGTATTGTTTTAACTTTTAAAGCAAAAGTTTTACTCCAATATGAGATATTTATAAATACAATATATATACATGGTACATACTTCCCTCCGTGTTGTCATCGCTTGCGGTTGCCAAGGAAACCTGAGGTTCAGCTGACTGTGATGATGTCATATACATGGAGACAGGTACCGGTTGACTGAGGGCATTTTGATAGTCCCCAAAGGTCATCAAGTTGGGCAGATGACCTTGACCCTGAGACAAAATGTCTGAGCCTAAAATGTTCGGAGATGTGATCTGCTGATTGGTGGGAACACTGGAGGACGAAGTACGACGAGAACTGGTGGCAAAAGTCCTACCAAAATCAGGAAGTGACTTCTTATAAGTGTGACTGTCCATTGGACTTGAATCCTCTGAATCTTCATCCAAAATTTCTATCTTAATAGGTGTCATATCAACATCAGACGAAACATTCGGATGTTCAAACTGTGTTTTAGAATGGGTTTCAGTCCCGAAATGCCTATTGGTGACTAGCTTTGTAAAGTTACTGGCAACATCAGCAGACATATGCAGATTTGAACTAGGGAATGGATTGAGAAAAGTAGATGTGTTGTTAGACTGGTGCCCTGCACCGCTGTGATGGTCTGTATGAGATTTCTGGATATAATCAGATGTGCTTCTATCAGGGGTATAGGATAGAGAATGAGTTTTTGTCCCAGAGACATTGTGCTCAGAACCTCTTGTAAAATCTGAATGTGACACATGCTGACGATCTAAAGAAACTCTAGATTCATCGGACGATCGTACACCACTGGCAGAATGTCCAGATGACAATGGTCCTTGTGAAGTCTTGTCCAAGGACGAAACAGCTTGCCTGGGGTTGTACGACCCCTCAGAAGATGATGTCCGTGATACATGTGTCTGAGAGTCTGAATAATTGGACAGATCAACCACATTTGTTTCCCTTCTGCTTCTGTCTATCTCGTTAGCACTAGAATCAACCCTACTTGTGTTTTTGTTGTGTGCTATCCGGCTGTCTTTCCCTTGTTGTTGAGTGGAGCTATATCGCTGCTGTTCCCTTGGACCTGTAGATGTAATCTCAACACTGTCTGATGTCTGGTCTTTAGACGTTTGACCACTAGCCATTTCTGTATCAAATCCCAAATTCTTATTTCTCAGCCATTCTGGTGTTGTGACTGATTTGTTGTCTGCAAAACAAAACAACACAAAATTACATTGTTTGAATATGAGTAAGATATTAAAGTTGTTGTTGTTAAACACAGATTTCAAATATCTCGGTATGGTAGAAATTAATTTAATTTATCTTTCATATCATTAACACAGAAGTTTTATAAGGAGTCATAAGTTATTCTTTTTAAATTTGATGCAGCTCTTAAATACTAAAATTGTTCTGCCCATACTGTTATCACTGTAAAGACGTGATAGTAACATATATTGTTTATTAAATTATATATATACGCAAACGTTTCACAAACTTAAGTTCGTTCAAAAATAAAATGTTTTTCTTCAGATAAATTATAGTAACTCTTTATTTCAGAGTTACATGTTGTGATATGTAATTGTTCATGTTTTGTGTCTTGATAAAGGAGCGGATAAGCCTGAAAATTTTATATATACATTTTATTTTTTTCCACTAAAGTGATCCTATGTTTTCCATTTAAAAAAAAGGACCGTTAAAAATTGCAGACTATTTACTGGTATGTACTTTTCTACATTCCTATTTGTCAAATCAAATTGTAACATGTTAATTCATGTCTGGAATTCAAATTTTGATCAGTGACTGTTGATCTGAAGAAATTGAGTGGTCAGATAATTGACAACCTACCCAGCACCATTTTGCCATAGACTTTGTACTCAGCAACTTTTATATCCAGCCACATAACAAAGTGGCTCTGTGTCCAGGGGTTCATAACGTTTATCAGCTCCGAGAAGGAATGTTTTACTGTGCAAAGGTCCATGGTTCTGTAGGTTATGCATGTATAAATGCAAGTCAGACAGATCTTTCTGGAAAAAATGATACAATGAAATGTATAAAACTATCGAAATAACATTAACAACATTAATATTTTTGACTTTCAATAATCTGTTGGAATTTCACTTGCATTACATGACTAACTTCACTTTGGCATTTTGTGTGCTGGATCAAGACTGGTTTGATCATGAGACTGATCAGATAAATCAGTAAAACCAGACAGTAGAGCATGCAACTATAGAGTTCTGTCCAAGATCCCTGCTTCCCCATTTCACATATGTTGTTACGTCACTCCAAGAAAGTCTCACTCAAATATCAGAGGTCAATTTATATTGCCCCACTTTGATTAGCCTGGAGTCCTATATGGTATTGCGATAGTTTACATTCAAAGAATATTTACACAAACCAACCTATCAATAAAGACAAAACTATTTTAGTGTTTTTATCCCAAGTTCATTCTATAGATCAAGAAAAAACTTTTCAACGCTCACCACACTCAGTGTATGCACAAACATGTAAATATCTGGATCTGCGACATCATAGAACCTTAAATATCATTATTCATAGGAATTGATCAAGAGGTTTTATTTTTCACAGTAAATTGAAGCAGTTCATCTGTAGATACATATTTTTCATTTCTTCCTAGTGAAATATATCAGAAAATTTCAGTGTGGTCAAAACCTTGTATATGAAATGACATATCTTCACATGTGATGATATATGACATTTTCATCACTCCTGTAAAAAAAAAAAATATTCTGTCATACTCGTGAAATAGATATTGGTATTCAATGGGAAACAATTAAATATCTTCTATATATTAACACAAATACAACTGCAATTGTGTAGTAGGACGGGGAAAAGTGATAAAGATAGTGCCGTCGCTGGGGTTCGAACCCGCGACCCTTGGCTCTCCATCCTGATGCTCTACCACTGACCTACATTGAGCGAGGGTTCAATGGCACCAGCTTGTAGTAGGACTATGAATAGTGAAAAAGATAATGCATTGGGGCTCGAACCCGTGACCCTTGGCTCTCCAGCCCGATGCTCTACCTCTAAGCTACAGGGAAATTCCCCACAACTGACGCTTGTAAGGCAACCTAATCAATGCACTTCTTTTGTAAGTGGTGTGGTCCTTATGGTCAGGAAATTCCCTCTAGGAAGAACTTCAGTAGCTCGTGTAGGTAACTGTAATCCTAGCCTATGTACAATTAAAATCTGCCACATTATATATAATTACTTCCCCCCTTATTAAATATATTTACCCCAAAACAACCCAGTTTAAACTCCCTGCCACCACAAGAAGGACATTAGGCACCATTTGTGACAGGAAAGAGAGTATGTTAGCTTTCATCTGGGATTGAATGCATGGCCACAGACTTCCTAATCGGACGCTCTACCACTGAGCTAAAGGGGAAATCCTTCTAGAGCGAGGGAAGGCAATTGTAATCCTAGCTATGTACAATTAAAATCTGCCACATTCATAGCATAAAATGGCCCTAAAATATTTGGAACTGTATAAGGACAAACAAAACGGAGTTATTTTTGGTATTTGTGACATCGGTTATAGGCTACTGCTAGTCACAGACCTACACCAATAACGGTAGAGATTTAGCATGGTAAGATATTTTGACATAGTCGACATAATGTACCCTTCACGGTCATTTGTTAGTAAGCTACCATTCACCTGTTACCTGTCACTTGTAAGTAAGCCATTTGCATGGTTGTCCCAGATCGTGCACTGCTTATACCGATATTTAACAGTATCAGAAACTTAGTTGGTGGTTGAACTATTTCTTATTGTTTTACGTAAAAATAGCAAAGCTCTGCAGAAGCAACAGGTGATGTCACTGTGCTGTATACACGCACGGAATTAGATAATAGATTATTTTATAAGTTTGCTATCGTGATTAACGAGTCAAACGCGTGCAGTGGCGCCTTATTTTTATGCATATTCACAACCAAACACATATATATCCTACTGCATATTGCCATTATCTGTAGGAGAAAGTGATTGAAAATAAAAACAAAAGAAATGCTTACGAACCGTCAGTTGTAACAACTGGAACAGTACCGTAAATCGCAATGTAAACAACTTTCACACCTTCCGACAGGAACTACAATATTCACACTAAAACACCAAACCAAACTCGCAGTTACAATTAATCCGGAATGTAATGCTTCCAAATATTTGCGAAGGGGTTAGATATATTTTTTTAGTGGCTTGTGGTAAAGCATTTTCAACAAAATAATATGAAAACTAAGACCCTTTCATAACGTGGTAAATAGTTTTTGCGATCTGGATCATTCTTAAAATTGCGTCGTTTTGTCTCTCATGTTACGAATTCATAATCATAGAAGTATATTGTTCCATTTCATTGTCATTACAGACATCACAATAGGTTATAAGAATATATATTTTTTAAATTGAACGAGTTTATATTCACTGAATATAACGGCAGTCGTGTTTCAGATAGTTTTTTATTGCATGATCAAGGAATCATTTTACGATTGTTGTGAAAAGCATGCTTTCCAAATAATTTTTTATGTCTAAATTCTGCGGCCGTTTTGGCTCTGTATTTATAATTTTCATTGTGACGATTATGACATAATCTGGAATTTATGCCGTCATTACTTTATACAATTTAATGTCGTCAAAATAATAATTTTATGTATATATGTGCAAAACAATATTGCATAGTTATATAGTTACTGCAAGTTCTTTTATACGTATTTCCGAGAGGAAACCATTGCCAAAACACATAACCAGTGTAACAATGGTTCACGGAAACGAATGTACAACAGCAAAGAAGCAGTACGAGTTTAGACCTAGTAAGTTAGCAACCAGTACACCAATTACCCAAATGGACAAACAGGGTACAAAGGACTCCAATGAAGATGTTGTGTGTCAATGCTATAAACATATACCCGATAAGGGGCTCATGTGTCAATGATATAAACATATACCCGATAAGGTGTTCATGTGTCAATGCTATAAACATATACCCGATAAGAGCTCATGTGCCAATGCTATAAACATATACCCGATAAATGCTATAAACATATACCCGACAAGGGGCTCATGTGTCAATGCTATAAACATATACCCGACAAGGGGCTCATGTGTCAATGATATAAACATGTACCCGATAAGGGGCTCATGTGTCAATGCTATAAACATATACCCGATAAGGGGCTCATGTGTCAATGCTATAAACATATACCCGATCAGAGGCTCATGTGTTAATGCAATAAACATATACCCGATAAGGGGCTCATGTGTCAATGCTATAAACATATACCCGATAAGGGGCTCATGTGTCAATACTATAAATATGTACCCGATCAGGGGCTCATGTGTCAATGCTATAAACATATACCCGATAAGATGCTCATGTGTCAATGCTATTAACATGTACTAGATAAGGGGCTCATGTGTCAATGCTATAAACATGTACCCGATAAGGGGCTCGTGTGTCAATGCTATAAAAATATACCCGATAAGATGATCATGTGTCAATGCTATTAACATGTACTAGATAAGGGGCTCATGTGTCACTGCAATAAACATATACCCGGTAAGATGCTCATGTGTCAATTCTATAAACATATACCAGATAAGGGGCTCATGGGTCAATACTATAAATATGTTCCCGATCAGGGGCTCATGTGTCAATGCTATAAACATATACCCGATAAGGGACTCATGTGTCAATGCTTAAAACACATACCCGATAAGGGGCTCATGTGTCAATGCAATAAACATGTACCCGATAAGGGGCTCATGTGTCAATGCAATAAACATATACCCGATAAGGGGCTCATGTGTCAATGCAATAAACATGTACCCAATAAGGGGCTCGTGTGTCAATGCTATAAACATGTACCCGATAAGGGGCTCATGTGTCAATGCAATAAACATGTACCCAATAAGGGGCTCATGTGTCAATGCTATAAACATGTACCCGATAAGGGGCTCATGTGTCAATGCTATAAACATGTACCCGATAAGGGGCTCATGTGTCAATGCTTAAAACATATACCCGATAAGGGGCTCATGTGTCAATGCTATAAACATATACCCGATAAGGGACCCATGTGTCAATGCTATAAACATGTACCCGATAAGGGGCTCATGTGTCAATGCTATAAACATATACCCGATAAGGGACTCATGTGTCAATGCTATAAACATATACCCGATAAGGGGCTCATGTGTCTGCAATAAACATGTACCCGATAAGGGGCTCATGTGTCAATGCAATAAACATATACCCGATAAGGGGCTCATGTGTCAATGCAATAAACATGTACCCGATAAGGGGCTCATGTGTCAATGCTATAAACATATAGCCTTTTCAAATATACACATGGCTCACGCATAAAAGTCTACACAATTTAGTGGTAAAAAATAAACAAAAAATATAAATGATGCGCTTATTGATGTCATACTTTGTCTAATGGCCTTTGTAATTGCCAGCTAGTGCGGGTTCGGGGTCGGCATACAAGATTCACCAGTGACAGATAAATACGAAACTAAATTCTGAATCAAAACAAGTAATGCAAGAGCGGAGTTTGTGGATTTGTTTTGATTGACTTCAGCTTTCGTTTCTTTCGTTTTATGCCTGATTTAACGCCATTTATCCATCTAAGGCTCGTTATGCAAGTCAATTTGACTCAACATGTAATGGTGCAATCTATAATGTAAAAACAACGATGAAATTTCACTGTGAGTAAAACTATACAGTAACTGTTGCTGTATTTCGCGCAACAAAGTATGGCAGGTAAGCGGCCTAAACAAGAACCCGGTACCTACGGATGCTCTCTGTGTAACAGAGATGATGGAGTACAGTGGTATTATCCCGACTCTCAGGAGATTTTATGTGACCGGTGCAATGAGGTCCATGCACGTGGAAAGAAATCGAAAAGTGATCGCGTCAACGTCGGAGAGTCTAAACTGGGCGACAAGCCTGTACCAGAGACGTGCACAACACATGCCGGTAAACTATGCGACATGTACTGTTGCGATTGTAACACTTTGATGTGTTTGATGTGCTTTTCTCAAACACATAAACAACACAATTGGAAACTTTTAGAAGACGAGTTTTCTTGCAAAAAGGAACAACTGAAAGCACAAGTGACAATAATTTCAGCTAAAATCGCACATTATCAGAATGAGACGTTGAATCGCCATTGTACCAGCAAAGCGTTTAAAGACAACATAGACTCAATACGGGAACAGGTGAACGCTCGGAGGACAAGACTGAAAGCCGAAGTAGATTATGTCGCAGATGCAGTTTTAGATGAGTTATCGACACTGGAGGAAGATGAATCAGAAGTACAACAAACAGCTTGTCAAAAAGCGGAGGAAAAAGTGGCAGAACTGACATTCATGCATGAAAAAGCAGTGACACACATGTCAAGTGTATCCATGTTTGAAACAGAAAGGTTGTTGAGGAGGACTCTGCCCCTCTATGATACTGATGTGGAGATTGATTTACCCAAACCACCGTTGTTTTTCCCTGAAAGTATCAACCGCTTAACGTTGGCGAAAATGTTAGGTCAAGTACACAAGGAAAAACAATACAAGAAGATGGAAATTGAGAGCAAACATGTTCAGTGCCTCTCTAAGTTTACTGTAACTGCTCCAAGCAAGCAAATATTGGGTATATGTCCAGTGGATGACAACCATGCATGGTTATCTATTCTTCACTACAAGGGTCTGACACTAGTCGACAGGAAAGGCACTGTTACAGACAAAGTAGAACTGGACTTCTGTCCATATCGAATGGCCATGGTTGGACAAACAGACATACTTATGACCAGTATTCCGTCCGATGGATTTGTGTATAAGTTATCACGGTGCACAAAACAAGTGACAGTGTTTGCCCACATCGATCAACGTGAAATCCAGGACATCAGTATCAATGAAATTGGTGAGGTGCTTATTAGTAACAATACTTCAGAAATAGTTGTGCTGAATCAGTCCGGTAAAGTTTCAAGGAAATTCACTTGTGGGTTCTCAGGATTGAACATTACTTGTTTGTCATCCAGGCGCCTGGGCATAACTGTACATGTCACAGATAGATTTGTTGCAGAAAACTTGATGATAACAGATGAGTCTGGTTTGGTCTTACAAACCTGGACCGGTGAACTCAGGAGCGGACAAAAGATCAGAAGTAAACATCTCTGCAAGATGTCGTGCGACAAGTATGACAGACTGTATATCCCAGACTACAAAAACAATCAGGTGTATGTCCTACCAAAAGATAGCAGAATGGCCTCGTGTCTTCTGGACAAGACACACTTGGTGATCAGACCTACCGTGGTAGAAGTGGACATGTGTGGGCATGTGTGGATTGGGTGTATGGATGGTACTGTACACATCATGCAACTGCAGCAATGAAACAAAGGTTGTGGGCCCTTTTGGTAAAGCAGCAAGGATCATTATATAGGGGATATAACAATGGGTTTTGCCTCCCTGGGGGCAGGGTTATATAGGGTAAATAACAAGTAGGGAAAAAACATTTTAAATCCTACTCTTTCAGTATAGATGTAGGTATTTTAATAACCTACTTTTTTGTAAAGGATTCCTGCAAAAGGGATACATAGATGTATTCACATGGTTTGACTCTTTAAAGTATATTGATGAAAGCTTAAGGAGTTTAATTAAGTTGTGTATATAAATAAGGATCCGTTAGTAAAACGGGTAAGGTGGGCAGTTGGTATATGGTGGAGGGGAGGTATCATATATATATATATATATATATATAGCTGAAAAAGGTTTTTTTCAATACAATAATGGTCAAGGGAAGATACATGCTTACAGACTTAAATTACTTGATATAATTCATACATATTTCTGTTGGAAATATTCCAGATTATGTATGGTATAGAAGAAAACTTTGAGCTACTTAGCCCTTTTTATTGGACCTTTTGCAAAGGAAAGGTACAGTACAAAAATATACTTCACATAAAAATGTGTTAAAATTTTAATATTGGGATATTGATAGAATTTGATAGATCATGCACACTTATTGAAATAATAAATCAAAGTATAATGAATGATAAATTGTTCGATGACCACTTTCAGCGGATCCCATTTGGTGGAGTTATGGCCCCTTGAATAACGAAAACAAAATCATCATTATCTGCTGCGTTTCGTTTCCGTGCAATAACTACAACAAATGTTAACCTTTTTTTTCAAACTTGGTCACAGGGTTAAATGCCTTAAGAGCTCGACCAAGTTCGATGACCACTTTCAGCTGACCCCATTTAGCGGAGCAATGGCCCCTTGAATTACAAAAATCGTCATTATCTGCCGTTTCTGTTCATTAACTCTCGCAAATATTATCCAATTGTCTTCAAACTTAGAAACAGGGTTCAATGTATTGATTAACGAAAAACATCTTTATCTGCAGTTTCCGCTTAATAATTCTAGCAAATATTAGCCAATTTCTTCAAACTTGATAACAGTGTTTGTGTTCCTCTGTCTTTTCACCCATCTCGGGCACTCTTTGGTATTCGTGTGATAATTGCTGTAGATATTGTTCAGATGTTTCAACTGAATTCCGTATGCACATCCGACTCATGCTAAGTTTGCCAACCGATGTGATTTGTGCATGTTTACGGATAATCAATGAGGTATAGGGCTTTTGTTTTCTTCAAGTTTCAAGCTATACATTATGTCTCAACTGCACGATACTCACATGTTTAAATCTAACCTCAATAATGTTAACCTACAATATGTTCTGCAAGCGAGGGATATGAATTCCACAAATTTGCTTTTTTAAACAGTGTTGAAACCTAGCCTGCACCTGTTGTAAAAGAGGTCGAAGCCAGCACAGGTTTTCTGTAATTTATACCTTGGTATACATATATGTTATTGATGATTGTGATGTGATTGTTAGCATCTCAGGAATTTAAGATATTTAACAATAATATAACCTCATTATAATGCTCCACATTCCATTTTCTACCTCCCTTATACAATGTACCGCCAACTTATTTCAAGTTTCCTTTTTTCTTCAGAATTCCTTTACAATTTTCCCTTATTATATTGAAAAACTTTCCTTTCTAATGCCAACTTTCTGTGGCCAAACGACTGATGGCAGTATAATGAGGTTTTACTGTATGGTTAGTAAAAGTTTGTTTGTATGGGCTAAATGTAAAATGTTCTGACAAAGTATTTTAATGTCTGTTGATCATTTGATAAGAACCCTGGATTAGCGATGAAGTCTTAAGAGATTGCACTGACAACATGACATTTAATTATGTATGTAATAATAAGCCAAACAGGACACTTCAATTTGTCTTTTGAGGTTACACTTATAAATACTGATCATGAAAGTCATGGCCACACTTATGAAAAAATATATTTGAACTTGTCTTGATCATGAGAGACCAGTTATAACAGTTGCAAGAGGCCATCCCGGTGGCCACATACCTGGTTGAATTGGCTAGCATTATTTGTATCACTGTCAATTTTCACTAGCTAAAGGGAGATACAATATACTTCATTTATGTTAATGTCACCGGGTACACTGATAACAGTATCAATTAATTTGAATTTTGACCAAGCAATTATGCAAGGGCTGCAGAAATCTAGCAAACAACAGGAATTACACTGAAGATACATAATAGATAAACACAAACATGCTTGTACATGTATATGTACATATTTATAAGGACAAATTTTGAAATAAACTAATTAAAAATCGAAAGGTTTTTTTAGCTCACCTAGCTACCAATATGGTATGGTGTGTTGTCTGTCACCCTTCAACTTTTTATTAAGAAATGGAGGACCTAGGGCCATGATATTTGGCCAGTAGGTACCTGGCACAAAGTGGTATAAAAATCCTCAAATAAATTACCTGACCTACTTTCAAAGTCATAAGGTTCAAAAATTGTGAAAAACAAGGAGGCCTACAGCAATGATATTTGGTCATTAAATACCTGGGACAGATACTTTCCTCAAATAAGTGACCTTGATCTATACTTTCAAGGTCACATGGGTCAATATGTTAAAAACTTTTAAACAACATCTTCTGAATAACTAAGAGGCCTACAACAATGATATTTGGCAAGTAGTACCTGACACAAAGTTCTATAATATAAAGTTTCCTCAAATAAATGACCTACTTTCAAGGTCACAGGGTTCGAAAATTGTGAAAACCTTTAAACAACTTCTTCTGTTTAACCAAAAGGCCTAGATTAATGATATATAGCCAGTAGGTACCTTGGACAGAGTGCTTAAAAATCTCATCAAATAAATTACCTTGACCTACATTCAAGGTCACGGGGTCAAATATGTAAAAAATAATAATAAACAATTTCTTCAGAAGAACCAGGAGGCCCAGATTACTGATATTTGGCCAGTAGGTACCAGCTGGCATGAAGTGATCAAATTTTCCTCAAATAAATTACCTTGACCTGCTTTCAAGTTCACAGGGATAAAAATTGTAAAAAAAACCCACACCACCTTTAAACAACTTCTTATGAATAACCAAGAGGCCTAGAGCAATGATATTTGGCCAGTAGGTACCTGGGACAGAGTGCTATAAGTTTTCCTCAAGTAAATGCACAGGGAATAAATATGTGTCAATAACTTCAGAACAACCAGGAGGCCCAGAGTAATGATACTTGCCTGGTAGGTACCTGGGACAGAGTGCTATAAAATTTCTCCAAAAAATACCAGGCGACTCTGGGTGATGATATTTGACCAGTAGCATGCTGGGATAGAGTAGTATTAGTTTCATTAAGTCTGGAACATGCATAAGCCAAGGAGACTCAATATATGGAGATATTTGCAGAAGTACTGTACTTTTATTGAGAATATTTTCCCACGATTGCTAAAATTTCCTGGTGAGCAATACGTATACAGGCCCTTTGGGCATCTTGTTCAGCTCACCTGGCCCTAAGCAGTTATTGTTAAGAATACACACCCCTCCATAATCCTATTTCATACATTGTTGTATTATTTCATAACTAGATGACACATACGTTGTATTTTTCCTAAACCCTTGTTAGTTGTATCATAATCACTTGGTGGTTTGGGATAACTGATTTGTAATATTGTCTTGATATTACTATTTTCAGAAATAGCAGCTAGGTCATATTCATTGTATGTCATCTCAGTTGAGACATTACAATGCTTTCTGCAAAATGCAGTACTTTCCTGCGTACAATTTTCATACATTCCATCTTTTAATGATTAAAGCATTTAACTTAGCATCAAATATAACAATTTGAAGACTTTAATGTTTGTGAATGAATGGTTATTCAGACCTGAGAGAGCGATAGTGACCTTGACTTCATCACGGTTAATATCACATTCTCAGGTCAATATAACCACATATTCACCTAAACAAATGTCCATAATTGATAAAAATTTCATACATTGTTTTTACAAGTTATGATATATTACGGCTGTAAATTTACACATGTATTTGATAGTCGGTGTATATGTACCTAAGAACAAGAATCACTTGGTGTACAACAGATATATGGGAAGTTGAGAAATTCCGTCAAATCAAAAGAGAGCAGATTCATAATTCATGATACTGACAGTTTGTTTTTGTGTGCATGCACTGATGAAAAAACAAAGACATAATTGTTATGACAATTTACCATTCTTGTGTAATGTAACCATGATATATTTTTTCAAATAAAAAAATCTGAAGAACCTCTTCTGTGGTGAAAGACCTGTAGATGACGTGCCATTGTTCTTGTTCTATTTTGTATCTTATTCTTACACAAGAACTTGATTATTCTTTTACTTCCAGGTATATATATTATTTGTATACAAGCAGAAAAAACCCATAATATCAACCAAAATTGCATGGAAGATTTATTGTCTATTTATCAGATTATACATCAAACTTAACATGTTTTTATATTCATACAAATAACAAACAGTATAATCCAGTAGCACAGATACATAGACATACACTTCTTTCAAATGTTAGACCTTCCTGTGGCATAATATGTACACAAACCATTTATATATGGAGATCGAGTCCCTTTAGGGGAAGGGGTGTGACTTTTAATTAATGATCCATGTTGATGGTGTCTAAATAACTCTTTAACAATACCTTTTCGCCTTTGATTAATAAAGGTTTCTATTTTTCTTGCTTTGATGAAAATCTAAGAATTTAATTATGATCCAAGTTGTTACAAACTGTAAGTATAAATAAATGAAATATATTTTGGGTAATCCTATTTTTAATTTTTTAATGGAAAATCATAATCTGGTCTAAAAGTCTAAATGCCAGTACCACAAATTTTGCACATCAAGTACATTAGACTCGCATTTCTCACAAATCACCTTTCTGAGAAATAACTTTATGAACTTAAAATACGCATACATTCTTCAGATGAAGATGTTGCAGCCAACCAGAATCCAAGGATCCCATCAGATTGGCTTAGAAAGTTACAAAACTTTGTCAGGACCTCACTAGGATCAAATGTATCAAGCCTGAAGTGAACTGCTTCAATTGTTCTCGAGCAAAAATCGGAATTGTTCCAGCCAATTGGAGGCCAGGCCAGCCATCTTGGATCAGCATGAAATGTAAACGCACTTAAAATGTCATCATGCAAAACTGGATTACAAATGTACTTCAGGTTTGTGTGGTATTCTTCACAGAGTACAGTCTAAAGCAATCCAACGAATCGGTCAACTTTGTATATGGACACTTTCTAAAAGCTACAGAACGATTTTCTCAAAAGTCACTTTTTCTTTCCCTTTCCTTTCTTTGGTTGAGCATACTTGGCTTCCAGGTTTGCGAAAAAGTCATCAGCCTGAGCTGCACGCCCCTTTTGCTTACTAAGAATGAGGGCCTGCAGGGAGTCGTCTGCCCCTATGCCGAGGCTTTTCTTGGCTTCTTCTGCCTCCTTCTCTTCTGCCTGGGCCTGAAACAAACCACATGACATGTCATAACACAAGTCCCAACAAAATCAATATACATTACAAACAATTAAATATCTGATGTTAAGGATCCCTGTCATACAAATACAGTTATCTCCCTTTAACTATAGAACTTCCATCTGGATATTACTGTACCACAATTGGTTAGAGCAATAATATAACCATCTAAAGTCCAGGTTTTTTAATCCTGGTGACTGTCTAACATTTTTTGCATTAAGAACACTGCTTTTGATTATTTTTGTTTCTAAATATCATCTTTATACTTCTCATAAAAATTCCACAATGTATGGTTTTCTTTAAAGAAATGATTTATTAAAGCTGAAGTCATCCTGAAAAAAACAATATCCAATACTTCATTTCCTTTTCTGCCACCAGTGGTATGGGGATCCTTAAATGACGTTTATCTAAATACTACAAAACTGAAAAGAGGAGGTACATTGTATAATGTGTTTGAATTATTATCACACTGTCAACTTACCTTTGACAATTCAGTCATAAAGTATAATGATTTTCAATATCATAAAAAACAATGGCAGGGTAAGAAAAAGCAGCTAAAATGAGAAAGAATACAATCAAACTCTGCTAATTACATTGGTGCCGCAAAATTTAAATTTAAAATGATCACTCTTCAACATGCAGTACAGGTAATGCACAGATGAGATATTTGCTCAGCTATATTTGTAAGTATTCCATCACAATAGAAATATTATATCCAAACCTCATAACATCTAAAACAACTATTCTGTAGATAGTGGTTATGTACCTTTCGCTTCCGTGATGCACTTTTCTTCTTGTTTTCTTTACTAAATGCTTCAAAGTCAGGAACTTCCTTTTTCTTTATTAAGTCTTTGATGATTGTTCTTAATCGAGGTTCATCATCTACACTAGAGCACATAATATGTTCCATGATTTGGTCCATGTCCCCCTCAAATGTGGTGTAAACCTCCTTCAGGTCAGCTCGCTCCTCCTCTGATCCTAAAACACAACGTTTAGTGAGAGAAAATATGATAACATTTTAAAAAGACCTCTTTCACTTGTTCAGGAGTACAAAGTTGTATCATATTTATATAACAAATAAAAAGATTTTACTAGTTGGTACACATACTCAGTAATAGCTGTTTGTTCTTTGGAATTCATTCCTTTCAAACGTAAAATTAATGTACTTTAAACTGTGATTTCATTTCATAAATACAGTTATATGTACCTCCCTTTACCTAGTACATTGTACTTCAATTTAGATATAAAAACTGTAGCACAATTGAGCCACAACACGTCTGTTGACCAGTAGCTCAATTGGTTGGCGCGATAGTTTAACAATCTCGGCCATAACTCTGTGCATAGTGAGGGCACACGGCCATAACTCTGTGCAAAGTGAGGGCACAAGTCTCTATCTCAAAACACGACACTCCATATCCCTAATGTTACTCCCACGCAAAAAAAATGCAAAATTTAGTAATGGTAAGTAAGACTAGACGTATGTCAAACGGACATATAATAACCTCCTCTAATAAGTGAAATACAGTATCATGAATACTTCTACACTTTGAAAATAATTCTTCAATTATAAATATTTTTCAATAAATTATCTAAAGCAATGTACAATGTAAAAATTGGAAATTACTTTTTGTACTTCTATCCCTATGGGTAATTTAACATATTAATTATCACCGTAAAAAAAGAACAAATGATATGAGCATTTATTACATTTGATGTAATAAATCATGTGTTTTTAATTTACCTTTGTACTTAGACTCAAAGTTCTTGATGTCCTCTTCTGCCATTTTTGGAAACAATAGTCTCCAATAGTCTACCCAGTCTCTGTCTTCCTGTATGTCATCTTCGTCATCCACCTCGCCTGTAGCACAAATATACACAGAAAGGTAGATAATTATCACTTGTGTATCATTGTAGCACACATACATACACATATAGTGTAAGCTATACATTAATCTCTGTCCAGAGTTGTCATTCCTTACACTCCACACGGACCACTTGTATAAAACACCCCAAAGTTGAGGAAAATCTCAAGCAATGTATTTGTCTATGGGAAATCTCAGACTTAAGGTAGTCTCAAGAGTTGGGATGTTTCATACAAGTGGTCCCTGGGGTGTAAGGATCTCCCCCAGAATGATAACTCACTTACAACTCTAGTCTAAAACGACTAAAATGTAGTCTGCATTATATTTAGCCTATGATCATGTGCTGTATAGCAGTGTTGGACAAGATAGGCTACTTTCCATCATCATAATTTTAGTTCACCATAATAAAAATTCACTTTTTCTGTCAGATAGGCTCAATTTAAAAGTTAAACAATCCAATTTCCATGTAATCAAATGTTAGAATGATCATCCAAATTTCCCACGAAGGTTCTGATGTTAATGTTTTTTTCCTGAATTTCATCCCAGGGTCAATTTCCCCAAACTCCAATGCCATAAATTAATATTAAACGATGTTGCATAATTTTACCTGTTTCATCATAAACTGCCCTCTTGTCCTTGTCTGATAGAATACTGTATACTTTGCCGACAGTCTGAAATTTGTGTGTAGCTTCTTCCTTATTTTCTTCTTCCACACGATCAGGGTGGGTCTTTAGAGACAGACGATGGTATCCACGCTTCACTGTAACGGAAAATTAAATATATCACCATGTCTACAAATATCATATCTGTTATCACCATGGGAAATAGCTAAATGAAGTACCTTTCTTTTAATATCATGATTCATTTGTCAGAAGAAACTATGGTATAAAGCAACATTTGATATGAACAGAAACATATTCACAGTGAAAATAAAAAGTTCAGGAACAAATTTAAAAGTGTAAACATTGTAACCATTAGGAAGTTTTAGTTTCTTTCATAAACATTTTTAATCAGATTGTACGGTTTGAATGAGATTGCTCAAAATAAGTGGTGTCTTTTTCAATATCTTTGCCCCCCCCCCCACATTTAAACATGAAAAAATAAGTGCCCGAGTAGGGTGTCACTCTTTCTAGATATCAAGGGTTTACTTACTCACTTACATTCTCCTTTCCCCTGGAATATGTCATAGCAAAATTGAAGGCTCAGTGTGTGCCACCTTGTGGATGAGACTGGATCCTTTGATGTACATGCTAACAATCTCGCGGTCAACGAAATTTACAGGCATTGAAGTTGGTGTTGTCATCTTTCATCTTCAAAGGACAGCCCTAGCAATTGGTCAATTTGTTTTACCTGAGACAAATCAAATAGCTAGCCGTGTGCCTTTAAATTCGCTATGACATATTCCAGACGTGCAGAAAACAAAAGTGAACATATATATAATCCCATGGAGTTTCCAGGATTGGTGTCACAATATGACAGGAGTGTATACATATCACGATATATTGCAATACAGATGGAATGTATTGTGATATGTATCTGGAAAAAGGTTTTCAATTTTAAAAGAAATTGTTGTCAGAATGATATCAAACTGAACCATATATTGTGACAGCCCTATGTGTCAGTTAGAATATACCTCATGTTTGGTCTTCTTTTAATACATGTGTTAGATTCTCCACGTAACTGGCTATACCAGCGCTGAGCAACAGGTAATTAATATAAAACTACTTATTCTTCCCGAATGGAGTGAACTCAATTACATTTTCTGGCACAACATCCTCTGCCAGCTTGCCCTCCACATAAAACTCTTGTACTAGCCAGTACCTTTCAACACTCAGTGTGTCACATGGTCCTTTTGACAATGTTTCAAAGCAATGTTGAGATACTTTAGGAGTGATTATACTTATTGTGGTGTAACATATACTTCAAAATAGCCATTCATAGCCGTCAACAATATTATATATACCGTGTGGTAGTCCCATTCAAGTGTATTTAGTTTTATGGCGGTCTGTATTACTTACCTTCGGCTGCAGCTGCCGTCTTTTGTACACCGATGACCTTGTATAAGTCGTCGGTACCAAAACAATTCCTACAAGTCTCCAGCAAGCCTGGCATTTTGATGTTTCTTTCTGATCACCTGTTTTCTCCTGTAAAATACCGCGCTAAATTTGGATCTGAGTATTCTAACTTAGAGTTTGAAGAGCAGTGACAAGGGAAGTAACTACGCAATTGGTATATTTTGTGGGAGCACACATTAAAATATGCACACTATCTATAATCATGTTTCTACCACATATGTACACTAGAAGCAATTTTCATATCTATGTTGGATGTGAACATCTTTTCAATTTCCTCTAGATCTAGCTCTAACGTCACGGACTTATATAACAATCGAATATGATATTCCGTGGTAAAGTCGCCGCCCGACACGATCACCATCGCGACAACACCCGTCCCATCGGCACCACAGGAAGACTACACAGAGCTTTAATGGGTCCATATGACTGTTTTAATTGGGCCGTGAAATTTACTATGCTTTCAAACAGAGACTTATATATTTGTATATATATATATGTATAGGTCTCATAAGTAATAACGACTGTATGATCCAATATTAGTACTGGATCCTAACAAATGTTGGTTTGATTCGTATTACTAAATATAGATATATGGACAAAGAAATTTGTCAAATTTTCAGGGCGATCTGCCCCTTTATCAAGACAGAAACATGTAAAATTTAGTATCACAACATTAAACTGAGAAAAACAGTCACCATGAGACAATAATACACTACAGACGACATCACTAAGCACATCAACAACAACAAGACACAAGTAGACATTGCAATTCTAGACTTCGCCAAGGCATTCGACAAAGTCGCACACCAACGACTCTCATCAAAACTACACCACTACGGGATACAGGGGACCACACAGAAATGGATTGACAACTTTTTGACAGATAGGAAACAACAAGTGCTAGTAGAAGGGAAAGTATCGCAATCATCACCAGTAACATCAGGAGTACCACAGGGAACAGTCCTCGGACCTACACTATTTTTAATATTCATCAACGACATTGCAGACCAAATCGAATCAACCATCAGACTATTTGCAGACGATTGCGTACTATACACACCCATCAACACACCAGAAGACCACGAGAAACTACAACGCGACCTAAACACACTGTGTCAATGGGCAGACACCTGGCAGATGGAGTTTAACGTGAATAAATGTGCCATTATGCAAGCCACCAACAAGAATACAACACAACAGTACAACTACCAGATGAAGGGACAGACATTAGAAATAGTAGAGCACCACCCATAC